CTTACTAGGGTATACAGATATTTCATTTACCCATATTTTTATGAAATAAAAGGGTGTGACTATATCAAATTATTTGTTACTGCTCCTTTGTAGGTTTGGAGATTATTGGATTGGACTTCATGCACCTGACCGAGGAGCAGGACTTGTTTGGAGTGATGGCTCACCAGTAAGTTTACATATTTCTCTCTCTATACAGTAAATGGACACTAAACCTCCATGCAGTTCTTCATGTTCAGAGATAAAGACATGTATTCATCTTTTTTTTTTTTGCTTTTATCATTAGGTCAACTTTAAACACTGGAAAGATGGAGAGCCAAACAATAAAAACGATGTGGAAAACTGCGTTGAATTTTATGGCCGTGACTGGCATAAGGATGGGTCATGGAATGATAATCACTGTGAAAAGAAAAATAACTGGATTTGTCAGATACCTACAGGTAAAACTTGGTTATGTCAGTATAACATGATACATATATAGTTAAATGTCTTTTTATRAAAGAAAACATAAAAGCTTTCAAATCAATATTATGTATTTTGGATGTTGTGCATGACTGCAAAGCAATAATTAATTACTTTAGTACTTCATTATAAATTAAACACTGTAATTGATTCCCTCCCAGGTGTCACTCCAAAGCCATCTCCAAACCCTCCCACTCCAGGTGAGTTCATCATTATATACCAGCACACAGCTACATAGAGGGTTAGGRCATTATGAGGAACGGCCTCCCTGATCTGAACTGCACAGGTGTTCTGTCAGACTGCGATAGGCATAGATTTTTCATATCAAACACAACATTTAAGAACAGTGTATTAAATAAATGTGAAAAAAAAAACTGTTCCTGTCGATTTAATGCATTATCTTCATACCTTGTGTGGCTGGCAAGGGAAAATATATGTTTTAAATCTAACAGCCAAAGAGATAATAAATGTTTTATTTACTTGGGGTTCTATGGAGAACTTCTGAGTGATCAGTATGTTACCTGCTACCTCAATAAAGATGTGTCATCTATATATGTATTTACAGATTATAACACCACTTCAGATGGGTGGCTGGAATGGAAAGGGAATCGTTATTTTAAGAATCCTCATCAAATGGCCATGGAAGACGCTCGAGATTTCTGTAAAAAGAGGCAAGCTGATCTGGTGACCTTTGACAGTGAAGCTGAATGGGTTTTTATCTGGAAACAGGTGAGCAGTGACATTCATCTATCATTCAAAACCAAAGCAATTTACAATTCAACTAAAACCAAACTGGGCAAGATTATTTAAAAAACGAAATCCCCTCTGTGGAAAAACTTTTCTATAAGCTTTCCTTCAAGGATTGCTGAGTTATTTAATTTTTAAAATTAGAATGAAGCAGCACATGTGTCTAAGTAAGAGGAAAAGTCCTATTTTCAATTTGCTCATTCCTGTCACAGTCTATCTTTTCTGCCTGTTTTCTAGTGTTTCTGTGTTCCTCTGTGTATCTCTGCCCTGCTGTCTGTCATTCCTCCAGCCCCGCCCTATAGCTCACCTGTTTCCTCTTGTGTCTCCTCCAGGTGTTTCTTGTTGTCTAATTTAGTTCTCCCTTTATATTCTGTGTCCTGTTTTCAGTGTTTGCCCGTCCATTGTGCTGTTTTCAGCCCGTGTGATGTTTTCCTCCATGTTCTAGTGTCTCCGGAGATCAGCTTATGAGTTTTTTRAGCTGCTTTGCCAGCATTTTTGTTTGCTGAAATAAATCTTTTGTTACATTTTGGATTCTTGCCTGCGCCCTGGGTCATTCTGCCTGCAACCTCACAGTTTCACTGCTAATCTTTGAACTGCTGTTTTATGTCTTTCATTTTCATAAAATTAATTTGACATAACTGGATTGTGATAAATTCATCTGTATGTAAATTGCTTTGAATCTGTGTTCAGTCGCATTTATTTCAACAGAAGTAAAGTGGACTGACTGTGTGAATGAAGGGGATTCTTGTAAAACCTGTCTGTGAAGCTTCCTGAAATGACTTATTATGAATTGACAGTAAATAAATTAACTGAACTGAACCATACAGTAGTTCTCGACCTTTTGTTTTTTTTATGCACAACTAACTAAAATGTTTCTGTGCAGATTTCTCAATATGGGAGTATTTGGATTGGTATGACTGTTGATCTTGACAGAACATTTCAGTGAGTATAAATAGAAAATTGTGGGAAAAAGTTATTCCACCTGGGTTTAACTTTTTTTCCCCCCATTTTTACTGCTAAACAACACAGAAATAAATCAATGTTTTTACATTTAGAATGTATTCCATATGTTTGTAATATTTTTTAAYGAGATGTGTTTGACTGTTTTCTGCTTGTGTTGCGTTAAGATGGGTGGATGATTCTCCAGTCTTGTTTCAAATTTGGGATGATGGACAGCCTGATTTTAAGAATTTTGATGAGCGCTGTGTTGCCATGAGATCTTATCATGGTGAGTAACGTTTGTTTTCTGCCAAACAAAAAATCAAAACATCGATCATCTTTAGAAATTTTATTATTGCTGGTTTGTGAAATCATGTTATTATCATGGTAACAACAACAGTTTATTGGTGCCTAAACACACTGTTCATTWAATACAGATGAGTAAAAAAAGATTAGTGTTTTCACTAAGTTATGAAGTTATGAAGCCTTAAAGTAAGTTCACAGATCACACATGCTATGTGAAGTGGCTGTTACATATGTAATCATTTAATACAAAGTTCTTTGCTTTTCCTGCAAGCATAAAAATGTTTAAAATATTTTAATACCACAAACTAATGTTCAAAGTTTAATTCTTGTTAAATTGACAGAAAACAAATGAATTGGAGAAATTTATTGGGGTTTTTTACTACTGACTTTTAAAGACACCACATTGTACAGTCTTTTATTAGGTGAACAGTAATACATTTTTACAATGTGGTTATCTCCGATTTAATAGATGATTTCATGTGCAGACTGGGTTGTGGGACTCTTGACTAGAGTTTCACACACTCAGGAGGCGTTTAGTTAGATACACGCCTGATTTTAAACAACACATATAAGAACTGTGATTATTCATTAGGGTGAGGAATAATGTCTGACATTTTGACTCCGTGTAGAGACAGCCTGCCCCTTTAACAAATGTCATGAGGCGGAGTCAGGTTTGTTTCTTGATGTTTCYGGGATCTGAGCACTGTTTAGCTGATGCCCATTGGAGGCACATTAAAAAAGCTAATCAGTCCACAGCTKTGTSCAGATGGTTTTGTGTGGCTCACTCAAACGTTCACATGTCATTATTAACTGGTATTAGACCTRAACAGGTAAAGGGTAATGGAACATTGCTTATTTTTTAACAGCTGGTGACCCCGACGTGATTTGAATCTGCTGGATTTCTTCTTAAAACTTTACTTTCAGTCTTCTGACTCCAAACAGGTTCACAGCAGCACTCAGCACACAGGCCTCAGTAAGACCACGGCGTAAGACCTTGAGCTCATATCAAGAAAACCCAAACAAAGCAGAGCTGCTCTGCTCAGATGCAGAGACTCTTTACCCACTGACAACTTCTTAGTACTATAATAATGAATTGAGCTCATAATGTTCATCTCTTCCTGGTTAAACCCTTGGAGGTGTTACCTTTTACGTCAGAACGTCACTCATTTTTGTTTAGGCTAAGGAAAGAACACATAACACACCAACTCTTATTCTGTTATGTCCTTATAGGCTGTAAGGATCAGAAAGTAAAAAATACAATACTGAATCTAATATTCAATTAATCAGTTACAAAATTTCYTCAGACTAATGAAAATGGTGTCTACAAAGTGTATAAAATGAATTAATTTATTTGGGTCAAATGATTTGTCATAAACATAATCCTGCTGTTAAGTTGTTATGAAATAGACATTTACTGTACGTATGTATGTATACACATACATAYTTTGAATTTATTCTGCACTGTTTACAGGGCTCTGGCACGATTATAACTGTGGATATGAATTTCCATCTGTCTGTAAGCGCAGCCACTCACCACCTGCTGATACCACTGYAGCTCCTACAAAACCACCTACAGGTGGCTGCAAGGACGGCTGGAAAAAATTCAACTCTAAGGTGAGATTGGAGGGCTGAAGGGATGAGCAAGCTTGGCTGTAGTGTATAATTATGTTAATTTTTTCCTTTAATATTTTGTGCATATTAATGTTGTAGATAAGATAAGATAAGATAAGATAAGATAAGATAAGATAAGATAAGATAAGATAAGATAAGATAGACCTTGTGAGGCTTTTTGGGCATTTTAAACATGATAATTTATAAATTATTCAAGTTCACTTTAATAAAACTCGATGCACCACTCGTCTTTATTTTGTTACAAATTATAACACAGGAAAGAGAAGAAAACCTGTAACTTTATTACCAATATCAGTCTCAGAATAAAACCCAAAATTAATCATGAGTTCTTGTGTTCGACGAATCAATAAAACTTTATCAAGACACAAATAGACGTAATTTTAAGTTGGTATGTTCTCTGCATACCCTTTATTGACAGATTAAAATATTTTAACAAACTATGGCAGCTGTGGAATGATGGCATAATGAAAAAAGGTAAATACAGCAATGGTTTGAGCAATAACAACAAACAAATAAATAAAAACAAACAAAAACTGAAAGGGGTTTTGAGGCAGGAATCATAATTTAGTAGATTTCCTATGGATGAGAATGTAAACTAAGATCTTAGTTAAATTCAAGTAGGTTGAGGGGACGCTGTAAATTTTAAACTTTACCACGACTCGTACGAAGAACATTAACCTGAGCCTCTGAGCACCTGTTTATTTTGTCACCAGCAAATTGTTTAGTTTTCCTACCCTTATTTCTGCTGAACTCAGTACCAGAGCGGGGTTGTCAGCTGCAGAGGAGAACTCTGGGTGTGGTGGTCCCAGGGAACTACTTCAGCAAAGGTGGCTGCCAGACACCTGGAGTGCCTGTGGTCACTTSTGGTCCTTCAGTCAGGAGGTAGGGATAGCTGGAGGATGGACGGGCTGTGTCGTTGATCAGGATGATCCAGAGCGGTRGTAGTTTGATCCGAACTTCGTAGAGAGAAGCGGATTAAAATGACGCATGGAGTCAAGCTCATGTGCTGAGCTGGCACAATACTTAGACGTTAGTTCCYAACRAAACTACATTAAAGCGATGATGGGGGGAGAGAGTCAGCATCAGTGACAGCCATGGGGAGGCTGCCAGGGCAGAGAGTAGATAAGGCAAAACTCTTGGCAGAGTTCAACAAGCCGAGAAGACAGAGAGGTACAGTAACTCTGTGATAACAGCGAGTGCGCCAACTTTTCACAGCAATGGTTGGGCGGAGTTAGTCATGCRTTTTTCCAATTAAAATGTTACATATCATAACAGGGGTGTCAATTAAAAGGGTTTTAGCCTATCAGCTTTTTGGAGGGAAAAGTTCCCACATCGAGACAAAGAAAATGGGTGTGTTTAGTTTACATTATTTTGCATCTACTTAAAGAGGAGGAGGGAAGTTAGAATAACATCTGATTTCGCCTCAGAGCAATAAAACTAAAGAATTTAATCTTTTTACAAGCAACTTCAGTGACAATAAGTTCTTTAAGACAACGTAAATGAGTTTAGATGTTTAACTTCATTTTAACTAGAAACAACAATAAACAATTATCCTAAAAGATAATTGCCATACATACAGTATAATCATTAAAATCAAGTTTTCAAGTCTCTACAGTGATTAAATAGTTAGAGAGAAAAAAAACATCGTTTAGATAATAGAAAACACAACAGTTRCTTCATGAAATAAAGAAACATGTTCATCAGGAGGAATCCATCTGTAAACAGTTAAACACAATACACAAACTAATACTTAAACCTAGTGTGTGAATAATTCATTAAACAGAAACATGGTGGGTCTTCAGACAGGCCTCTTGGTCCTATAAGAAAACAGGTTAAATCAGATTTCTTTGTATTAGTAGACAGTTGTTGGTACACAGACAACTTTCTTTGTTTTTTCTTTTTTTTTTCACTTTTAATGAAGAAAATTTTCCATCTTTTAATTTCTGTGAAGCTGGAGAGGGAGAGTCTGTGTTGTGAGAAAGGAATTTTTATGGACCTTTGAAGAGGAAATGACAGTCTTAAAGGGATAAACCAGATCTTGTTGGTTTTGGTCTCTCAGAACGTGAATTGATCAGAATGTGACAGTATTGACAGCTTCATGGCTCGAGCTCGAGCGTAGCCAAGGAGTCTGCTTTTCAGAGTTGAAACAACAAAATTTTGTCTTTAGTAAGATAGTTCCTGTCGGAGTACCTTGTGTCAGGTTCTGGAAATAGATAAGAAGCAGAGATGCTCTGTGGGTGTTTAAAGAAAAACAAGGAATGCTGAGGGCTGTTAGTTCAAGTCATAAAACCAGCCTGCGTCTTGAGCTTTGGGATCAGTCTGTGGGGGTGGAGTCAAAAGTTCACTAAGGTTCAGCTCTTAGTGAATTTTAATGCAGAAACATTGCAGATTCATAAAAATCTAAATCCAGGTGTAGGTAGGAACCACAGCCAGCCCGCGACCCTCAGCAGAACCGTTTGCAGACCGAGTTCCAGCTTGCTCAAGGCAAAAGTCTGAGTGCTGAAAGAACGGCAATCCTTCATATTGGTCAGGCAGCCAGGAAATGACCTGAAAAGCCACCGACAATGTTTTGTACAACACCAGGAGACCACCAAGCCAATCTGTAGAAATCCAGTGATCAGAATCCAAATATATATCCAGCTAGTTGAACAGGACAGAGGTCCCACCTTTAATATGTCCTCCCATGGAAAAAAAAAATTGTCCCAAAAATAGATTAAGAAGCCAGCTAAATCCATAAAAATAAATCCATAATTTTCAGTTTTGGATGAAAACGTAGAGCAAGCTCCGAGCAGCAAAGCAGGGAAAGATAAAGGAGGGCAGGCGAGAGGGAAAAGGTGTCTTATTCCAAAATAAATAAATAAATAAATAAATAAATAAATAAATAAATAAATAAATAAATAAATGTTACCTGGAAGGTCAACATCAATACGTTGATTTTTCCCACTGTCCTAAAGACCCCTGTTTTCAGAACAAACCTTTCAGTTGGCATTTGAAAGAAGCTTCTGATGCAGTACTAAAGGGGACGTTACAAGACTTGATGAAGTAAAAGTACATTAACTGTTCCATTACGTTCTGGTTTTTGTAGTGATGCATGTTTATTTATGGGCTAGCTTGAAAACATAAAAAGTACGACTTTGCAGGCCAGAATGAATTCTAAGGGGTCAGATCTGGCCAACAGGCTTTGAACCTGATACATTTTATTATATATGCCAGTAACCCATCCTCTGTGATGTAGGAATTTACTTTGAAGTGAAAGACAGWGAGTATTGATATTTTTGAAAATTGTAAATTTGATTGTTTTTGTTTCCCTAGTGTTACAAGATCATAAACAATCAAAATTTAACATGGGAKAATGCGAGGCAGCAGTGCAAAGACATGGGTGGAAACCTGGCATCAATTTCTTCAAGACATGTAGAAGGTTTGTTTGCTCATTTAAACCTTCAGAAATTTTAAGCACTTCTTTCTTCAGGGTTWTGTATTAAAATCCACTCAAACAGACTGGCTGTTAACAAATCCAAATAAAACCTTCATATAACCAGTAGGGCAGGGCTATTCAATTGGCGGCCCATAAGCCACATCTGGCCTGCCAATGACTTCCATCTGGCCCACAAATGAGTGCCCCCGCCCCCACACACACACACCACCACCACCACCATCACCACTTTTTTTATATAAATTAAAAAAGTAAAAGATAATATTTGTTCTGTCACATGCTGTTTACCATTACTGGGAGAATATCAGGCCCCTGCCCCAGGCCCCCGGAGAAATTTAGTTGAATAGCCTTGGTATAATGTGAGATCATTATAAAAAAGAGAAGTAAAATAAGATATTTGGAAAATACCCATTTTTTTAAATAAGCAATACTATTTTGGGGTCGTCTAAACCTCAAGACCCTTGATACAGCTTAAAGCCTTCAGAGTCTCAGACCCTGCATATCACCAGTGTTTATGGAATAATAAAATGTCCCTATTTACAGAACTGTATATTTTTATTTTAACAAATGATTTAGGTTAGCAAGGTTTTGTTGTGGAATACACATTTGTCAACATTTTAGCACTTTGGGCATCTTTAGTACAATTACCACAAATAGCAATAACTGTGACATTGCAATTGTAAATATCTAATGCTGATTTTTTTTTAAATTTTCAGTGTTTTTAATGTCTCAAATGATTGATGCACCGAGTACAGACCTTTGGATTGGTTTTCATAGTTTATATAAGGAAGGGTTTTATTGGACAGATGGACGACCAAAATCATATGTTAACTTTAAGTTACCAGTGAGTAAACATTTATGGCTTTATTTTCAATCTGAAAATAAGTGGAATCTGTGAAATTCTCTATAATTCATGTTTAATTTTTTTCCCCTCCATTTTAGTCAAGACGCCATCCTTTTCTGATACATGACTACAGATATTCGGTAACATGATCTAATACAGATTTACTTGTGCATAATTATGAAAAAAAAAAGGGTAGAGTACTATACATAGGATAGACTGGCAACTGTGGATGAGTGGTTAAGGGCATCTTCCTCTAATCAAAGAGTTGGCAGTTTGATTCACTGCTATTCAGTCACATGTTGAAGTGTCCTTGGGCAAGACATTGAACCCCTCTCTGCCTCTGCTCTGATGTGTGTCCCATCAGTGTGTGAATGTGATTTAAAGCATTGATTACTCTCCACAGGATGATTTGTACATGTTTGCTTTGTTGAGACATAGAGTGYTGAATGAATGTGTGYATGAATGAGTAAATGAGGACACAGGTTGAAGTGTAAAGTGCTTTGAGTATCCTGATTGGAAAGAAAGTTTCTATACAAGTACAGTCCATTTACCATTTACTGCTTATATTCACAAGGAGTTATCAATTGTTTTACAGATCTCCTGTACAGTCACTAAGATTTATGAACACGAAATGCAAGGACATAAATATTAGTAGCATTTAGCTTAGCAGTTTATAAAAAAGGTATTTTAGGCTGAAACTTGTAAATAAATAATAGCTGGTTTTATCTTGTACATTACTAAGTATGACCTGTAGGATCAGTGACTGTGTCACAGTTTTAGATTCCTGGTAATTAAAAGTGACTATTAAATATTAATTATTAATGTTTTATTTAACAATTTTTTTTATCTGGGTCTAACTTACAGATACGGCATCCCGTGAGCGTAAGTGGTTCTCATCATCCATCCATCCATCCATCCATCCATCCATCCATCCATCCATCCATCCATCCATCCATCCATCCATCCATCCATCCATCCAT